GAAGGGGCAGAGAGAGAATCCCAAGCAGGTTCCGTGTAGTCAGCACAGAGCTCGACTCGGGGCTGAAATTCACAAACCGCAAGATCATGACCTGAGCGGAAATCAAGAGTCAACACATTTAACTGACTGAGCCACCCAGGCACCCCTAAACTATTTTTAAATTAAGGTATGTACATTGTCTTTTAAGAGATGTTATGGCACACTTAAGAGACTACAGTATAGTATAAATGTAATGTTAATTAAAAATATATATATAACAAAAACATTCATTTGACTCACTATATTATTATTGCAGTGGTCTAGAATTGAACCCACAATATGTTCATTGGAAAATGAACAGTGTCTCTATACGTAAAATCATCATTAGTCATGCAATTACTGAGACTTGTCCTTTCTATGGCAAATTCAGTAACACTTTTTCATTTTCCTTTTATAAAAAGATAATACATAACACAGCATTGTCAGGGTCTGCTTGTAGATGCTTCATAAAATTTATAACAGCAAAAAATAGGTGGGTAAAATAAATTATGAAACCATTAAAAATAAGTGGGTAGGTTAAGTTATACCTTGTAAGCTTTTATATTCTATGTGAAAAAATACTAGGTTTAAATAGAAAGCGATAAATAACAGTATATATTTTAAGTCCTAGAATAATTACCAAAAAAAAAATGCAAAGTATAAGTAAAAAGCCAGTAGACATATTGGATTGTAATTCTAATTCTAACAGTAAAGAAGGGCAGGAAGAGAGGAACACTGGAATAAAAACCAGATGAAACAAATCAAAAATACATTTCAAAGCGGTAGAACTATTCACAACCACATCAACAATTGCCTTAAATGTAAACAGATTAAACACTCCATTGCCTTTTAAAGGCAGAGATTGGAAGCTCAGATTAAAAAATGTAAGATCCAGCTATATATTGAAAAGAAAACTCACTTTAAATATGAAGTCTCGGGTGAAATGTATAAAGATGCAAAAATATGTACCAAAGTAAGAATAAGGAAGCTGGTGTAATTATATTAAAATCAGAAAAGGTAGGGGCGCCTGGGAGGCTCAGGTGGTTAGGGGAATGACTCTGGCTCAGGTCATGATCTTGCAGTTTGTGAGTTTGAGCCCCGCCTTGGGCTCTGTGCTGACAGCTCGGATTCTGTGTCTCCCTCTCTCTCTGCCCCTCCCCCGCTCATGCTCTGTGTCTCTCTGTCTCTCAATAATAACTAGACATTTAAAAAAAAAATCACAAAAAGTAAAATTTAAGGAGTATTACTAGAAAGGATGAAGGGCATTTTTTAGCATTAAAAGATTCATTTCACCAGGAACACGAAACAAATCACACACCGAAATCAGTACCCTACATCTGTTAGGGTAAAAGACGGGAGCGTATATTCAAGACTTTTGTGAAGGCAACCATTTTTAGGTCACCAAAGTACTCCACATGAAGAGAAAATATTGGGGGTGGCTGGGTGGCTCAGTTAATTAAGCATCTGAATCTTGATTTTGGCTCAGGTCATGATCTCACCATGAGATCAAGCCGTGTGTTGGGCTATGAACTGACAGAGTGAAACCTGCCTGGGATTCTGTCTCTTCCAGCTCTATGCCCCTCCTCTGCTCTCTCTCTTCACCTCCAACTCAAAAATAAATAAGTAAACATTAAAAATAAAACATCGTGGGGCGCCTGGGTGGCGCAGTCGGTTAAGCGTCCGACTTCAGCCAGGTCACGATCTCGCGGTCCGTGAGTTCGAGCCCCATGTCAGGCTCTGGCTGATGGCTCAGAGCCTGGAGCCTGTTTCCGATTCTGTGTCTCCCTCTCTCTCTGCCCCTCCCCCGTTCATGCTCTGTCTCTCTCTGTCCCAAAGAAAATAAATAAACGTTGAAAAAAAAATTAAAAAAAAAAAGTCACTACTAAAAAAAAAAGCAAACCACAGAATAGGATAAAATATATACACTATGTACATTTGAGAAAGGTCTTAGATCCAGAATTTACAAAGAATTCTTATAGCTTAATAAAAAGAGAAAACAACCCAAAGAAGAATGCGCAAAAGACCTGAACAGCTGCTTTACAAAGAAGATATAAAAATGACCATTAAGCACCTGAAAAGATGTTCAATGAGATCAAAATTACATCCACAATGAGAGAGCATTGCACACCACTCCAATGGTTACAAGCAGAGGCGAACACCAAAGCCTGAGCGCCGTGGGGCGACTGAAGCCTTCATCCATGTGAAATGTTACTTTGGAAAAAACAGTTTAGCAGTTCCTGATAAATTTCAGTGTCTACCAAGCTTATGATCCAACAATCCCACTCACAGGAGTTTAACGAAGAAAAAGGAAACCCTGCAAACAACCTTGAACAAGAATGTTTATAAGAGCTTTTCCAATAATCAGCAAACACTGGAAAAGACCCATCTGTCCGTCGACTGGGTAATTCATAAAAGGTCATGGTATATTTATACGATGGAATCACTATTCACCAATTAACGAAAACAAACAGGAATCACGGGCACAAACAACGGTATGAATGGATCTCAAGAACCACGAGCAAAAGAAACCAGACACAGAAACAGTACAGTCTGCATGATTCCATTTACTGAAGCTGAAGAATGGGTAAGGTCTTGGTGACACAAATCAAAACAGTGGTTGTCCAAGGGGGATGGGAATTAACCGGATGGGAGTCAAACCGCTAATAAGAGATCTGTTTGGGAGGTGATGGAAATGTTCTCTGCCTGGATAGGCGTGTACATCAATCGAACCTCACTGCATTCCATGCTTCAGACCTGTATGTGGAAAAAAAAGAAGTATTTTGTAGGTTGGAATACTTATATAGAAATAAATCCCCATCAAATTATGCCAAAACAAAAAATACATGCGATTAATACATTACTTGAAGGACTGCTCAATTTTGCAGTGATATATATCTAATGTAAAAAATTACATTTTAGGGGATGTGCTCATTTGAAGTTTTCGGTACTTTTCTGCCCCCTATGCTTTATAAATATTTGTACTTTGAAAATGGTAGGTATAGTATGGCATTTTAACTTTGGGTTAAAAACTCTGATCTGAAGTCAAGTTATAAAATGGGTAGGGAAGTAATAATACAACCAGTGTTAAGAACAGGAACATCTAAAATGTTTCATTTAATATACAACATGTGGAAATTAAAAAAAATTTTTTTTCTTATATTCAGAGATACCAAAATAAATGAGGGAAAATGTAATATATATGACACTGAAACATCAGTGATCAAAATGAAAAATCATAACAATTTTCAGTAATAAACTTGCTACGATATTAAATATTCATTCAACACACCTCATGCGAAAGTAAATATTTAATTTAGTTGAGCTAGGTAATGGCCTAAAGTATAAGTGCATTCAAATAGTGAAGTCGGGGCACCTGTGTGGCTCTCAGGTGGTTAAGCATCCGACTTTGGCTCAGGTCATGTTCTCGAGGCCCGCATTGGACTCTGTGCTGACAGCTCAGAGCCTGGAGCCTGCTTCGGATTCTGTGTCTCCGTCTCTCTCTGCCCCTCCCCCACTGGCACTCTGTCTCTCCTTCTCTCAAAAATAAATAAACATTAAAAAAATTTATTTCTAAATAATGAAGTCATTGGTCTCTTTCAGAAGTGCGTAGTTCAAGTAATTAAATCCTAAGTCCTATAGATTATTTCTCCCACTTTCTGATTTGTTCTCTTTTCTTGCCAGGCCTGTTCCCCACCTCTTAAATCAGTAAAGTGTCCTCCCCAAGATCGTAGATTCCTGAAAATAGGGACTCTCTTCTTTTCAGAGTTTTTTTCCCTTGAAATCTCCAGAAACCTACTTCAGCGAGAGAGACGAGTGGAAGAACGTCTTTTCACATGAGCCTCAGGCACAGCTAGCTCCGAGAAGCATCCCATCCTGGCCTGAGTGTGCCCCTGTGCCCCAAGATGCCCGCTGATTCTCAGGTGGAATATAAACATGGGGTAAACTTGAATAATGATCAGCGCCCTGTCCATTCATGCTACTTCCTTGGAAGAGTAACCACGCAGAAGTGACCTTCCCTGCTCATCCCTGAGAGGAGGTACAGGGTTGTCATGAGTTTTTCAGATAGTCTTCGATGGTTGTTTTCATTAGAGACCTGTCCAGAAAGGTCCGTGTGAGCGCAGGGGCATTAATTACTCTGGGATTTATGTACCCTTCCTGCACCTTGCACCATAATTCTTGTTGTGTGTATGTGCACATGCATTTGATTATGCCAACCTAAATCGTATAGGAAATATATTCCCGACCTTTGTCTTCAAGGAATATGATTTGTTATTTGATAGAAGTTTGGAATTTGAAGGACCAATCGATCATATAACGGCTGTGAGTTGTTTTTTGTTTTTTTTTTTTTATGTTTTTATGTTTATTTATTTTTGAGAGAGAGAGCAGAAGACAGGCAGAGAGATGGGGGGACAAAGGATCCAAAGAGTGCTCTGCGCTGACAGCACAGAGCCCGACGTGGGGCTCGAACTCACAAACCGTGGGATCATGACCTGAGCCAGTCAGATGCTTAACCGACTGAGCCACAACGGTGCCCCAGCTATGAGTGTTTAAACAGCATTTTCTAAATCATCTGAGTATACACGTACAGCCCATGATAATCACTCCATTCACTTGGATGATTTAGACCCCTCCAAGGTGAGCATATAGTCCACAACCACGAAAACGACCATAATTAAACTTCCTGGAGGGGTGTCTCCAATTTTATAACCTAACTTAGGAAAAACACAGAGAAACCTCGAGAGCGTCCAAGTAAGGCAATAAAAAGATCACTGCGTGTTGGAAAATGAACAGCGTCTCTATATGCAAAACCATCATTGGTCGTGCCATTACTGGGACTTGTCCTTTCTATGGCAAATTCAGTAACACTTTTTCATTTTCCTTTTATGAAAAGATAATACATATTTGAGAAGACTGTTTGGGACTTATGAGATGAAGTTATGAAGATGTAAAACTGGAACGCATCGAAACCAAACTTGCCTTATTAGCACGGCACTCGGAATAACAGAGCCACCAGTCAGATATGATTCAAAATGTGCATCGTGATTCACTCTCGGTGCCTTCGTGAAATTGGTACCAGCGGTGGGGCTCTGCCATCACTTCGTTATTGTTGACTGCGTCAGCCCCAGAATGATGGAAAACAAAACGATTCCTTACGGGCTTCTGCAACGTTGCCAATGAGGAGAGACGGAGACACCACAGAGATGAGTGAGACGTGAAAGTGACTGAGGCAGATGGGGCATCCAGTCACTGCAGCCATGCCAATCCAGGAAACAATGACCACCAGTGACCCTTTGCTAGCTAGATTTTCTGCAAGGTGTTTGAAGAGTTCCCCTTCCCAATAGGGCTGAACTGTGGTCTTCATGCCTGAACATGGCTGGGCTACTGTTTTTGTGTCTGAAGTGCATGTAAGTACCATTACTGCTGAGAAGAACTCGCATGCAGCTGAAAGCTGGGGAAAAAGGAAATTTTGCAAGAATGTAAGGTGGTGATGGTGGCTGGTGGAAGGTGGGGGGGTGGTGGTGAGGAAAGGAGTCAGGCAATGAGCAGTAAGAGTGTGGCAGAGACAGTGCAAGAGAGACACGAGCTCGCGGCTGTGCATTTGTTTCCCTTCCTTCTCCCTTCTTTGTTTCTCTGCCCCCCAGGAAGTTGTTGTCACTTGCCTTACCCCAAAGCTCGTCTTCTGGAAAAGTTCCCCCGAGGTTTGAAGCATTTCCTGGATACTCTGGACAAGAGCCCTCCAGGGACATCAGCCTGGTTTGGGAATCATCGTCAACATAAGAGTGTTATCGGTAACACCGTTCTTAGATTTTGTCACTGTTGGGGCTGATTTGTCACTGCTGATTTGTCACTGTTGGAGCCTCTTTCGGAAAAGTACAGTCATGAAGAAGAACGGGAAAGAGAAAGGAAGGGAGGGAGGACAGGTATCCTGGGAGAGCTGTGCCGGACTGAAATCGAAGGTGACAAAACTAAAGGTGAGTGTGTCACCGAGACGGGAAGAAACGGTCCAAGCAGGAGGGCTGCAAGTGAGCAGCTCGGGGGAAGGAGAATCCTGCGCGCTGTCCCTCGGGGGGCAATATGGAAGCTGTGGTGAGGACAGCGGGAGCTTGCTGAGGTCGGGTACCGCTACCTTGGACAAGAAGGATGGTAGGAGAAGATCAAGGGCTCTGGAGTGAAGCAAACATAGACTTCTACTGACCGTGTGACTGCGCAGCCTTGGGCCGTGTCTTCACAGCCAGCGGGAAAAGCATCATCCTGGAATTGAAGAGAGAGAACTTATGATAAGAAGCGGGGTCTCTTAGGCTAGCATCCAAAGATGCTTTTAGCACCTCGCATTTACAGAATATGTTTATTCCTAATTTGACATGTTAGCCATAAAAGGCAGCCCAAATCCTTTCTTTTTTCTTTTAATCAATGTTTTTTATTTATTTTTGAGACAGAGAGAGACAGAGTGTGAGGGAGGGAAGGGCAGAGAGAGAGGGGGACACAGAATCCGAAGCAGGCTCCAGGCTCCGAGCTGTCAGCACAGAGCCCGACGCGGGGCTCGAACTCACAGACCGTGAGATCATGACCTGAGCCGAAGTCGACGCTTAACCGACTGAGCCACCCAGGCGCCCCAGCCCAAATCCTTTCAACACATGAAAAAGTTATTTAAAAATTATACTGTCATTTCCTGCTGGCAGATAATGGGAAAATAAAATAAACCATAATAAAATGAGAAGGAAAAATGTTCGAGTGATGTCTATGAGGCAGGGAATATATACATTTTGTGTATTTTCTGATACAGCCACAGAACTGGATGTGCTTGCCCACATCTATAGGCCACACAAATTAATGCAGTCCTGAGCACAAAAAAGGCTCGCTTTAGACGAAAACCAATGAATAACTGGTTTTAGAATTCTCATAAATCAGGTATGGAGGATGCTCCATGAATTCACCATTCCATCTCACTCACCACTTGATGGGGGGTTCATAGGGTTGGTGTTCAGAGATCCAGTGGCTGCTGGGAACAGATGCGCCACGTTGGGGTCAGGAAACAAGGGAGGGGCAAAGACTTATTGTTTCTGCTCAGTGAAGGTATCCTTGGCCTTGAATTACGTAATATACACACCACGACATAGCTACTCAAAATCAGCACAGTTTTTGATATTTGAACAAGTAACATCTTGATCTTTTTCTGTTTTCTTCTGTAGAATCCTACTAGTTGTGTAAAATGAATTTCTCTGTTACAATATTTATAAAATAAGGAAGTATAGAATCCTTAAATATATATTTTTTAGAATCCTTAAATATTTGACCCTCTCACCAGCCATATTTTTAGTACCTCCTGTCCACATGAACTACACTATTAATCTATTAATGTTTTCTACTCCTTTGGTCAATGTTTTTCATTGACGTTTCCACAAACAGAGAGAAGAGCCTTCTCAGGAGGTGTGTACCTTCACAACAAGAGACTTCTTCGGTACAGTTTCAAGAAGAAACCATTTTCCCTCCAAGGCGGAAGGGATCTAATGTAATCAATCTGCCAACAAGTCTTGGCCGGTTCTCCAGAGGGATGATGGCACACACAGAGCTCACCAGTAGTCTGTTTCTTGCTGGTTGGACATTCCACTGTAATTGTAGACAAATCGGCCCCGGTGCCATTGTCAGATACTTTGTCTCCTCCAATCAGTGCACTCTGGGTCTGGGAACTGCCTTACATCTGGGAGCTATTATCTGGAACGACCTCCGATGTCAAATGCCTTCGCCCAGGTTTTATACAAAGGGCTGGATGCTGTGTAGAGGGTCAGGAGAGAGGGAGGAGGGGGGAGGAAGGCAGGGCAGTAATGCAGGCCACGCATTACCCAATGTCACTGCCTCCCAGTGAGCTGGGAGGGGGCACGGCAGGCAGCGGTGCAGATGTGGCCCCTGAACTGGCTCTTAGGAAGAATCAGATCTCAGAGGTATCCACAGAAGGAAGGAAGTGGTGCTGAGGGAATCTCAGAGAAGTTTCCTCCCGTCTCCTTTTTCCCATTGCTCCAGATTCACTGCACGGGTAGGTATCTGCCCCATGCCCCCAGGTAGTGTTATCTAGTCCATCAGGGACCATCTCCAGAAAGCCGGGTCCATGCCTTGTGATGTGGCATTTCAGCAACTTAGCCTGAATTCGGGGAGCCTCAGGGAGTGCAGCAAAGTTGGTGGTGAAGGCAGGAGACACCTCGAGAAGGAAAAAGATGGTCGGGAGAATGTGAAGAGCTGAAAGGTTTGTGTTCGACATTCCTATCTAGGCAGGAAGAGAAACCCACAATCCCTAATGGAAATGACTGATATATTTGACTATACAGAACTTGTCATTTCGGGGCTCCTGGGTGGCTCAGTCTGTTAAGCGTCCAACTCTTGATTTCAGCTCAAGTCAGGATCTCAGGGTTCAAGCCCTGAATCGGCCTCTGCACTGACACTATGAAGCCTGGTTTGGATTTTCTCTCTCTCCCTGTTTCTCTCTCTCTCTCTCTCTCTCTCTCTCTCACACACACACACACACACACACACACACACATAAATAAACTTAACTTTTTTTTGAAAAAAAGAACTTGTCATTTCTATGAGGGAAAAAAGACATGATACACCAAGTCAAAAGAAAAGAGATAAAATGCTAATAATAATAGAAATTTCTGATCAAAAAAATCTCTCTCATGTTGACAACAAAAAGACAAAGTACCTAATAAAAATGGGCAAAGAATAAAGAAAGGCAGGACATTACAAGAGGCTAAAATATTTAATTACCAGCCTAATATCACAGTTATTACTCAAAATAAGTACAAATTCTTGCAATACTATGGCACCATTTTTCAGCAATTACCTGTGCAAATATTTTAAGCTTATAATATACAGCATTAAAGAGAATGAGAGAGAAAAAGAACTCTCATGAACTTTTGGCAGAAAATCATGAATCGGAATGAACTTTTTGGAAGGATAATTTGATAATATCTATCAACATTTAAAATTTACATGTAGTACTTATAAAACTATTTCCTATAGACATATGAGTATACATAAACATATGCATATAAAGATGTTAGTAATAGCACTTTTGCAATATTAAAAAACAGGGAAAATCTAAATGTCTACCAACAGGAAACTAATGAATTAACTAATGAAACATAGTTACTTTTAATGGAATGGTGGATGGCCTTTAAAAAGAATAATACAGATCTACTTATATAGGGAAATGTTAAAGATACAAAGTATAAATGCAAGTTGCAGAGAAGTATACATGTATGATACTCCATGTATACACGAAGTATTGTATGATCCCATGTGTATAAATAACTAGATGTGAAAATACTTTGTTTTTGACTGAACTCTCAAAGACCAGAATAATACCAGTGAATAAATATAACTGAATTAGATAATGGGGTAATTTGGAAATGCATGTTCATGGAGATCTAAAACACAAGACAAAGCTATGGTGAAATGGAAACCAGGACATGGTTCTGATGCAAGCTTGAAATTGTTAAAGAACCTTTGAAAATCTACGAGTGCTTGAGATTGCTTCCTGGACAGAGAAAGTAGGATCGAGTTGCCTTATTCTAGCATTTTCAGTCAGGCTTGCTAATTTACAATGAACACAATAGAAAGGAAAATGAGATTAAGAAAAGTGTGTACGCTAAAAGACAATCTTTGGAGGGTAGGAACTGCTGAGTGCCATGATTTTTGCAGAATGGGTGTTCAAAGCTTGGGGCAGGGTTGTGCAGGGGGAGACAGGGCGTTAACTCTCCCAGTGCTTGAGATTTTTACCACTAGTTGGTATCACTTTCCTTAAATAAAATAAAAAAATATATATTAACTAAATCAAAGTATCTATGGGCATTTTATCATTCATGTGATTTCAAAGTATAAAACCAAATGAAAGAAGTCACAAAAGAAGACATGAAACAACTCTAAATTTAAACACAGGTACCAGTAAAATCGTAGTATACATTAAAAGGCAAATGACAAGCTGGAGGAAATATATTCAAAGTCTATGTTAAATGCTACAGACTATGCCCCCAAATCCCACTGCTCCCCACCCCCTGCCCTATTCATATGTTGAAACCTAATGTGAGGGTATCTGGAGGTGGGGCCTTTAGGAAGAGATTAGGCCATGAGGGTGAGGCCTTCGTGAATGGAATTAGTGTCCTTGTAAAAGACCCCAGAGCGCTTCCTAACCTCTTTGACCATGTGAGGTCACAGCGAGAAGACAGCCACCTAGGAATCAGAAGTCAGATTCTCATTAGACACTGACTCTGGGGTGCCTTGATCCTGGATATCCCAGCTTCCATAACTGTGGGAGACAGATTTCTGTTGTTTATAAGCCCCCAGCCTATAGCATCTTGTTATTGTATTTTTTGTTATAGTTTGTTATAGTACTTTATTTATTAGCCCAAAGACAACAAGCAGATTGTTAATAGATTTTAGATAGATACATGGATGGATGGATGGATAGATGGATGGATAGAAGGATGGGTGAGAGGGAAGGAAGGAAGGAAGGAAGGAAGGAAGGAAGGAAGGAAGGAGGAAGGAAGGAAAGAAAGAAAGAAAAAGAAAGAAAGAAAGAAAGAAAGGAGGGAGGGAGGGAGGGAGGGAGGGAGAGAAGAAGGAAGGAAGAAAAAAAAAGAAAAAATGCAGTATTTCGAGTTATTCAGTATCCATAAGGGTAAGATGAGATAGGGTACTCAAAAGATATACCACCCCTAATGATCATGTTTTCACTCAAAATATAACATTGGGAAATTATTCTACAATTTTAAGCGAATTATTCCAAAATTTTAAAGTGAATACACAAGCAAATAAATACATTATCACAATACACTGTGCGTGGCAGAATTACAGAGGACTTTTTATTTCCTTATCATTGCACCTCCTTCCCTTCTGCATTTTCTAAAAAGACTATGCACTCCTTTTATAATGACTTTTTAAATCCTGAAAACAACTGGGGGCGCCTGGGTGGCGCAGTCGGTTAAGCGTCCGACTTCAGCCAGGTCACGATCTCGCGGTCCGGTCCATGAGTTCAAGCCCCGCGTCGGGCTCTGGGCCGATGGCTCAGAGCCTGGAGCCTGTTTCCGATTCTGTGTCTCCCTCTCTCTCTGCCCCTCCCCCGTTCATGCTCTGTATCTCTCTGTCCCAAAAATAAATAAAAACGTTGAAAAAAAATTTAAAAAAAAATCCTGAAAACAACTAAATAACTGAAACTAAGTCAAGGACTAGAAACAATAATGAGAATACTCTCATTATTT